GATGCTTTATTTTATCCTCCCATCTTCCAAAACTTGCAGCAGCTACAAGCCAAACGGCAGATGTTCTCAAGTTGTTGTTGAGGGAGGCAGGGAGCCTGGAAGGTGGTAACTGAGGAGCGTTGTCAAGTCTGCTCAAGGGAACGTAGTCTTTTGTATAGGTTGTGTAATTCCAAATGAAGTAGTATGACAAATCAATTAGCTTTTCCTGTCTCAGAAATTCAACTTGAATACCTTCCCTATTGATTAGAGCGTACTCTAGACAATCTAACTCAAAGGTGACATAGCTGCAATTTTTGCCTTCTGCGTTCTTGCAGATATTAAATTGATCTTTGACCGCTCTCTACTAGTGGGGCTTAACAGAGACATGAAACATTTTCAAACCTCTAATTAGGGGCTTTTGTAAGTTATTAAAGATTGATTCACCTCACAGGCTTTACAAAGGCATGTTCATATGTCTTTGCTGGAGCGCTTAGCAACTGGGCATCAGGGTTCAGTCTCTTCCCTGCATTCGGTGAAAGGAGTGTGCTACAGCAGTGTCCTTTGGGTTTTTTTTTTTTTTCTTAATCTGCTCGTTTCTTTCCACGTTAGTCAAAACCTAAGGGAACGAGGTACACTGAGGTTTCACAAATGTGGAGGGACTTGGCTGCAATCCCAAAGCATCTCTGGGGCAACCAGAGGGAGCTGAACTAGGCCGTTCACTGGGTTGAATTTTATGTGGAAAGTTAGTGGTTCATTTTGACCTGCATCCATGTGGTGATTCCTGTCATGTGAGAACACTCTGGGAACTTGAGCGAGGAAGGGAATGTGCTTTGGGATTGGAGCTGAGTGGTCAAGGGCTGGAGCAGTTCAGAGGCAGCGGTTCAAGGTGAGTGTAAAACGGTGATTGGATCAAATTCATGCCGAGTCGGTACCCGGAAAGCCGCCTTTATGTAATGGCTGGGTCTTCACTCATAATTTCCTTTTTCTGTTCAAGGGGGTGCTGTGTTTCGGTTTTGTTTTGGTTTGGTTTTTTTAGCTAACTTTTTATGCATTTGAAATACGTGACAGCAAACTGTTACTTTAAATGCTCATGTCTACCACGTTAGGACAGATTGGAGACTTGATTTATGCATAGATAGCTCTGGATTGTTTAATGAGCATTCTGGAAAATAAACTCTTTCACTGAGGTCAACTCTGTTTAGCCATTTTTTTTTGCAGAGATCACCACCTCCTCTCGTTTTTTTTAATATCTGTATGGATTTAGGATAACATAGTTGTAAACAAATAATGGGAACTTTCGCAATCCACGTCTCTGCTACCTCATGGAAACTAATATGAGGGGATGTGATGAAGTCATGGCCAGATACATTTCCCCATGGAAATACATTGTAGGGTCTAATGTCTGTTTCCGGAAGCAAAAATTTCAACTAACGCACCGTGAATTTGTTTTCTTTTCAAGCTATAAAGCTGGAGGTTAAATGACCAAGTAGCAATAAAATAGGAAAACTCTGCATTGAAGAAACTAACTCTTCAAAGTGCTTTCTTTGAATGAGTGCCCACTTGTGCGTTTTTGGTGAACGTGTACTTACGTGAGTCACTTGAGTCTGAAGAATATTTCTCTTGAACTGCTAGAAGTCGTGTGTGCTTATACACTGTTATTTCTCATCGTCCGTGTGTGAGCTAACAAGGCAGAACGAGGACGCTGCTGTTTCAGCTCCTCTCTAGCATCTCGTTGAGACGGAGTGCTCTCTATTCTGCATTACAGCGTGATTTTTCTTGATTATTTTTTACGTCGGTGACTTTTATTTTTCCCCGTTGCGCGCTTTGCGAGAGCAGGGTTCCAGCCTTTGTGCCGTGTATCTTGCTGTAGGGAGGAGTTTGCAGAGGTGCTGCTCCCGTAGCTGTTTCAAGCTCTGTAGGAGACCAAAGGCTGTGGCCACCGGCGACCTGGGAGTCCTGGAGCAAGCTTCAGAGAATATTTCAGGTCATTGCACCTGCACCTTACGGCACCGGCTGAAGCCTTCGGGCAGACCGTTTCCCTGGGAAGTCCATCTTCGTCTCATCCATCCTGTTTCCTTCTCTTTTTTTTTTTTTTTATTAGAAAAAAAAGCCATTTTGAGTCAGTACCTTATCACTGAGACTCATCAAGTGAGAGTGATATCTACCTTGGCACTAGGCTTTTAATGCCCGTATCAATTTTTGCAGTGCAAACCAAACCACACCACCATGAGCATGTATTGATTTCTTCATCCTTGGCACCCCTTTGCTTCCAAGCTGTATTTATTTTATATATTTTTTTTTTTTTTTTCTGGTGCCTGCAGTGTGGGTTTGAGCACTGGTGACACTGCCTTGTCCATCCCGTGCTCGTAGCCAACAGACTGTGAGCTCAGCCTCGCTTTTCACTGTGGGGGGATTTTGAATTTGGCACCCGCGTGGGGCCCATGCGGTGCAGCCGGGTACCTTCTGCAGCACCCGGGGGGCGGCATCTCCTGAGTACTGCCAGGAATGGCCACGGGTAGAAGTGCACGTTCTGTCTCTGGGCTTCTCTTCAGCAAAAGCTGAAGCTAGTGAAGGTGCTTAATTCTGCTGAATCAAACCCAGGGTCACCGTCTTTTGGTGATGCAAATCTTTTTGCTACTGGTATTGGCTGCAGCTTCTCGGCGCCGATTTGCTCATTCTGTAACTTCTGTCTGTCCTGACAGCTGCTGGGTGCCGGTTGTGTCCACTGCAAAGGGACAGAGACCAAATGTGTATCAATACAGGGAGTGTTTGGTTGGAGAAGGAGCTTCTGCTGTTGGGTAGCACTCTGCTGCTACCAAGAGCAGGTTCCAAGTGTTGAAAGCTTTACTTTGAGCTGTTGATCTCTTGGCCTCTCAGGAAGGTGTTAGGTGTAACCCTGAAGAAGTGCTTTCACACTGCTGTACGGGGTCATCACCTCTTAATTGAGATGATTCTCCATTTTTCACTTTTTAATCTTGCACTTCCTGCTGTGGCCTATATGTTACTTGCGCTCTTGATGTCGGGATGGTGATGCTTACTGGTCCAGAACTATCTAAAATCCTCTTAAATAAAGACTTAATTGAGTGCTCATGAGCACTTCTGAATGTTCCGGGGTCTTCAGCTTTTGTATGAAAATAATCTCTAAGCAATGATACAGTCATTAAGGACTGCCATGAAGCCTCCTCTTGTGAGTCATCCATATGCCATCAAGTCCAAGCAATTCGGGTAATATCACTAAAAAATGTCAGTGCATTAGATCTTTTGTGTGGCTGTCAAGACCTTCATCCATATTTCCCAGGTACTGTATAATTAGAGATCTCATGGGCCAACAGCCAGTGTAGCATTTGACAAAGTGAATTCATCAGTCGTGTTTTCAGAGATCATCTGTCAGGTAGATTTTTTTTTTTTTTTTTTAATAGTACAAGGACAACTTTTTGGAGAGACCTGTGTTGTGATAGTGTATGTCCATCTGTCAGGAAAATGAGAAGTTCTTAGCCCTAACTTGTTTTTCAAGATACTTGGTTCACCTGTAGATATGTGCGTAGCTGTGCTGCTTTCTGCCTGTCCTGTGCATGTGACTTCTCTGAGAAAAAGCCGCCTGCCAGCTTGGTAATGCAGCCCTGCTAGCGTAGAGATGTAGGACTCCTTCCTCTGGGCAAAGCAGAGCTCAGCCCTTCTCCCGTACGTACATGGATGAGTAGGGAAAGGCACTTGGGATCTGGTGGCTAGTGGGGTGAAAGAGCTGGAAAAGTCTCACTGTTTTCTTCTGTTCCTTCTCTACAATATTATTTAGAGAAGGTGGAAAAATACCAGAATGCTTTTTAATTCCTTCATGTCCCTTCCTCCTCTCTTTTCCCTCACCCCCAAAATATGTTTTAGTACTGTGCTGATGGTATATGCACTGGGGAACTTAGCCATCGTTATTTCTTTTTGAATAAGTCAGGCTGTGATGAACAAGAATAACCAGTACCTTGCCTTCGGGCACAGATTTATTCGGGGGGGCTGGGAATGGGGGAGGCTAAAGGGTTTTAACTTCACTCCTTGCTGCTTTTGTGGATCCAGTGTGCCTGATTCTAGTGCCGTGCTGGGGTTGGCTGCAGGTGGTGCCACCCCAGGGGGGGCAGGTCTCTGGCTGTGCCAGCTCTCCTAAAGGGAAAAGAGCACGGGCTGGGGCTGGGAGCGAGCCCGCGGTCCGGGGGAGCGCAGGGACCCCTCTGTGCAAGACAATTTTCAGGTTATAAGTTAATTAGATTCATTAGATCAGTTCCCCAGTTTTATCTGCTGGTAGGTTTCGGGGTATCAATCTCTGCCTTATTTCCCTGACATTCCTGACTCGAGCCAAAACATTTTGCTCCATTATTTAGCCCCGTGTCCGTTTTCCTCCCTTTCCGTCTCTCTCTCCGCAAGCCCTGTTCCCGCCTCGTGCAGGCAACTACACCTGAATACCGGCATAAACTATTCCCGCAAGGTTTCTGGAGCTGTAAAAGACCACGTCCCGTAGCTGCAGGTTACTCCGAGTGGCATCCCCCACCCCAGTGAAGGGTGTTTGTACGGTCGGGCGGCACTGCAGGTGGGGGGAAGGCAGTTCAACACACCTTGCCAACGCTCAGCCGGCCCGGCAGGCGTGAGGCTCAGCTTCTGCATAAAGCTGGGTGGGATGGTGCAGGATGGGTCCTGCTCACTGGAGGTTTGTAAGCAGAGGCAGTTAAACATCAGTGAGACCACTCGGGGTGGGGGGTACTTGGCTGAACTGGGACTGCTGGCAGCACGGGTGGGAGGGTGGTGCTTGCCCAAGCGTTCTTAACCTAATGACCTCGTTTTGACTTGCTTAAACTTTTTCAGGTTTTTATGGTTTTGATTGAAAAGCAGGTGACTGGAAAGCTGAAAATTATCATCATCTTCCTGTGTGTTGTTTTTTTTTTTTTTTTTTATCTTATGTAAGCACTGAAGCAGATTGGCTGTTGAGGCAGTGCTATGAAGTTATTTAAAGCTGTGTATGTAACCTTATGTTTTGTGTGCAGACTGCAGGGAAATCTTGCTGCCAACAATGACAGATCAGCTGAAATATCACTTGGAAAGACAAGAAGATTTGGAGGCTTGTTGCCAGTTGCTGAGTAACATCCTGGAAGTGCTTTACAAGAAAGATGTGGTTAGTATCTTATAGTTCTGTGATGATTAACACTTAAAAGAAATGTATCTTAGGGGAGTGAATTAAGCAGGTAACTCCTGATGGCTCAGATCTTGTTTGTTTTTGTTGTTTTTGGTTTTTTTTTTTTTTCCCCCCTTCCCTAAAAAAATCTCTTAAGTCTTCTTTTTAGGTAGCCAGAGTTGAGGATGTGTTGTGTGACATCTCAGGATGTTACTGTTTCTGAGGCACATCCAATACAGCACTGTTGCCCAGTGACCCTTTTCCAGGCGTTGGTTAGACAGTGGGTAAATAGATATTCTTAGGAGTTCAGCCTTTCTCCTACATGGAGTCTAGCCTCTACCAGGTAGAAAATGTTTTGTGTTTTGTTTTTGTTTGTTTTTTTTTTTTTTTTTTTTCCATGAGCATTTGGGAAATGCATGTTTGAGTTGTACTGATACTGCCCTGCTAGGCCAGCTTGAAGGGGAGGGTGTGTGTATATATACATACACTCACACATATTTGAACATATACTTTTGTCAACACTGTAAACTTCTTTAGCTTTTTGAAGTGCCATTTAAAGTTAGCTAGTAGAATTTTCCACCTTGGCAAGAGATAACCTGAATTGGAGAGTGGCAGCTTCTGCATGAATGTTGTAACCCACGTAGTTGTCTTGCTCATTCAGAATGTAAACACGTGGGCCAGTTGCTCGTGAGAACCTGGGCAGTGCCCTGGGCTGGTAGGCAGATGTAGATCTTGCATAATAGACCCTTTTTTTCTTTTTTGTCTTTTCTTGACTTCACACAAATATGCAAATATTAGTGCTTTGCCAGAGAGCCGTAATGATGTGGTGCTCTCTTAGAGAAGTTTGGGCTGATGAGGCTGCTGCCCAAATCTTCACTCCTAGGTAGAATCATACATGAATTTAGTTGGAAAGGACCTCGGGTCAGCTACTCACATCGTATCCAGCATCTTATTTGACCGCGTTTTTTGAACTCGGTTCGACTTTTGTTTCTTTTTTTTAAAGTACTTCAGTGTGACTGCTTCGGGGAGTGGGTTATTTTTTTTTTAAAAAAAAAAAAAAAAGGGATTTCTTTTTGACACCTTGGCTGTTTCCTGTCACTCTTTGTCAGCCGCACCTCTCGCCCCAGCTCCACCAGCTCCGGGGCTGAGCTCAGCTGGAGCCAAGTTGCCCTGTGCCGCCCTCCGGTAGCCGCCGGCTGCTGGCGGAGCGAGGGGATGGGGAGGGGAACGGGAAAAGGAAAGCAGCACTGCCTGTGAGGGGGGATGTCAAACAGAATTGAAAATGGGCCGGAGCAGCACAAGTGCCGGGAATGCAGGGAGGAGGGAAGGCTTAGCAGGGAGAGCTGAAGGGCGGAGAGAAGCGGGCTTGGAGAGGGATGCCGCCTTCCCTCCACGTGCTCTTGGTACCAGAATTGTAAGGTTTCTCCCAAGGACAGATCTGTCAGCAGCAAGTGGAGCGGTACCCGGGTACAGATGTGCTGATAGTGACTTGTTCTTCAAACGCGCAAATGCATTTTTCATACCAGCAGGTCTGCCTTGGGTAATTAAGCAAAATCTGATGATACGACCTGGGTGGTGATACTGATCCAAGGGCAAGAAGGAGAATGGTTCATCGGAATGTTGGTTTGGTCAGGAAGCAACACCAAGATGCTGCTTTATTTAGAGAGTCGTCTGGGAAGTGTTGGCTACAGAATTATTTCCCCTTTCTGTCTCATGGACCCCTTTTGAAGTCTTGCCCTTCAGACCACTGAAAACTCTGAGGAAGCCTGTTTATAAAGTAAAAGATCGGGGCAAAGCTGGTTGATTTTCTTTCTCCTTCCCCGTGTGTTTGACTTCACTTCCTGTAGCCATCATTCCGCGTGAGGTTTCTGAACTTGTTCTTAAAAGCTGGTTGAACTAAGTATTTCATTTCCAACTCTTTCAAATGAAGTGGCAGGTTACTTCTAATACAGAAGTATTAATTTGAAACAACTGACTGAAAATGCAGTTCCTTAACCAAAGTTTTGCTCCGCTTTTCTGTTAATGGAGCTGTTGCAGGATAGTCCCCCAGATTTGCTAATGCCTGTGGGCTTTTGATGCTGGAAAAATGACTTGGGTAAATAAAATTTTTAGGTAACTAAATGTGATCGGCTTTGCTATATTTCCAGGGACTTGCTTTTCGTTTAAATAACTGTAGCAGTACATGTTAATTTATCAGTAACATGTGTTAATAAAATAGACATTGCATGGTGTTCGTTAAAATGAGGGACATTCTCTGCTTTTGATCACCAGCAGTGAGTGATGTTTTATTTAAGTTTCACGAGACGGACTGATTTAAAGGCAAGCATAAATAGTTCAATTGTTTTGGTGCCCGTTGTATCTAGTTACCACTAATTTATTCTTTTTCCTTAGGGGCCAACACAACGACATGTCCAGATAATCATGGAAAAGCTACTGAGGACAGTAAACAGAACAGTCATTTCCATGGGACGTGATTCGGAGCTCATTGTAAGTGTCTCTTGATGTAAACTTAACTACCTCTGTCACATCTTTTTGAACCTGCCTGTAATAGGATTTAAATCCCAGGTGACCCAAAGCAATCAAAACCTTCTGTAACTGTCTTTGTGTTCAGTTAGCTGCAAAACACTGGCTTGTAATTTTTCTGTGGTTTACACAGGGGGAGAAAAAAATATTTAAATAGCTGTGGCCAGGTGATTAGCCAGCTTTTAGATGTCTGTGTTATGCAAAATGATGTAATATTTGTGATTAGCCAGCTGAAAAGTGTGGAAACGAAAGACCTGCGTGTTTGTTACTACATTAGAAATCATTTGACTCAACAAGCATTTCCCTGTCTCTTTTGACTACAACTGCGATACCCAAGATAACGGCAGTATCCAAATGATTGAACAGTAGAACAGAGCCTCAAATTATTCCTTGTTGAAATTCTGGAGGAAGGACTGACGCAGTAGCTGCAAGTTTTCCTGTTCCACTTTGGCGGCCTAACACTGCGATTTTTAAAGCCTGACTTTTGAATTTTTCAACTGTATCATTAATATGGGTTTAAAAGGTGAAAAAAATAGCGAGGCCTGTTGACATCTAAAATGGGGGTAGATCTTGGTGTGTTTTTAGGAGTCTCACTGTGTGTTTGTCTTTACCTTATATTCTTCCTCAGGTGTCTGCAACAAATATATAGGAAACTGGTCAGAGCAGACCAGGTTCCTCATTCGTCTGAGTAGCTGTCCTCTTCTACCTTAATTTGCTTCAGCTGGATTTCATGCACTGATTGATTTCTTCAAGGTTTTATTTGTTAGATATATTTGAGTCCATTAGCACTTTTTTTTTTTTTGATCTCCCCTTTTCTGGTTTTATTTCTGTGTGTAATTGCACGCAGGGGTATTTGGCTTTTTGTGAGAAGGCTGTCTGGCCTCAGCACGTCTTTCTTACCTACTGCTGTCCCGTTTACTTGGCATATGGTGGTGTTTGTGTTGGCAACTACAATGTTAGCTTTGTGTTTAGTGCGTCACCCACATAACTTTTTCTGTTTTCCACTTTCATCCCTTTGATTTGCAATAACGGTTTTTGTCGTAAGAAACTGGTAATGGATCACTAGATCCACTGCTGGAGCAAGAAATGGTCGTAAGAAGAGATCATTCCTATCGGATATTATAGTGGTGGGATGCAGTAACAGTGAAAGGAAGACAAAAGGTGTGTATGCTGTTACACTGGGTGTTACCACAGAAATCATCAAGAACATGCAGAATCGATACCTTTCTGTACAAGGGTGCAAAACTTTACTTCTTCCCCCGGTTTCGGAGAAGGCGTAGTCTCGTAACACGTACAGGAAATGTCTTCAGTTAGGATTAAGGTTTGAATTAATTACTGTTTTGATGAAGATGATTTAGGTGATATTTTAAAATGTTAATTATTCCTTTTGCATTTATCAAATTATATTTGAAAACTTCTCCTGTAGATATTTTAACTAAGTACAGTTGTATTAAAAATATCCATAGTGATCATGAATGCGGCTTGAAAGCACTCCATCCACACACTCTATAATTATATAATGAGTATTAATAGGATCAGGTATTTTCAAGGAGTACTTACTCCTATCCTAAAATTCAGTCTGTTGCGGAAACGATCCTCCTGTAATCAAGCCGTAATAATTAATTTTTGTGGCATCAGTAAAGTAGGAAGAGTAAAATGCAAGAGATAATTAGTGAACATAACTTGACTCTTCTTGGAACTGAATTGGGTTGATATTACGTATTAACTTTTCTTTTGTCAATACTAGTATAATTTTACCTGGAACTTATATCAGAGAGTTAATCATAAAGGATGAGTAGAAGGAAGGAAGTTTGGAAATAAAGTATCTTATAAAGGCATAGTTCAAGGAACAATTACTTTTTCAAAGTAAGTAAATTAGAGAACATAGCGAATTGTTTCTCATATAAAGAGAGCTAGGGAGAGCCGGCATGTTTTCACCTTGAAGAAATACTGAGCTGCGTCATCTTCATCCAAACCCAAAGGTTGCCTAATACACTTTAAATACGAGGAAAAAAAAAAAAAAAAAAAAAAAAAAGCTGGGCGTCGGGACGGGAGGGCTGTTGGGCACCGGGACGGGAACACGGGCTCCTCCTCCCCTTCCTCACACCGCCCGTTCTTGCCAAACCTCGGCTGTCCTCGCCGGGCAGCTGCTGTGGCAGGTGGGATGCACGGCCTGCGGGATCTGTAGGGGTGAACATCAAAGGCAGTTGTTCTGTAGAAATTGTTTCGGTTTATATTTTCATAATATTCTGGGTGTACCCTTCTGAGTTGGAGGCGTGCGTGACTTACTGGCGTGTTGCTCTGGGCTGTGTGGTAAGGCAGCGAGAGCCGGCCTTGCCGGGAGGCCGGAGCTCCGGGCGATCCGCGGGGGGTTGGAGAGAACGTACGCCGTCAGGTGAAAAATGCAGTTCTCTTGGAACAGAGGTGGTGGAGGCAGAATGCTTAAATTCTGTCACTTCACATCGGCGAACAAAAGTCTGAGGTTGCCGGATGTGCTAACGTAACGGGAACGTAAGGCACCGAATTTACTGTTGCCGAAGGACGTGCAATTAAAGGCTGTTAAAGATGCCATAAATAATTCAAATGACTTTCTCTCCATTGTAACCTGTGGCCAGGGATCTGTACGCGAATGGCTGTTAGCAGTTGCCTTTGGAGAAACGTTGAACGCGGGATGGATGAGGCGCGGTCCCCAGCCGACCAAAACCCGGAGCGGGGGGGGAAGGCAGCGGCCCGGCCGGCAGCGATGGCGCGACCAGCGCGGTTGTCTGGCCAACTGCTTTTCCTTCACTGTGGTGGAAACGTTCCACCTTAACCCAGGAGATGGGAAAAGAGTTTTTGGTACCTCTTAAGCTGACGCCTCCTGCATCTCAGACTGAGGATGGGAGCTGCCGGGTACCGCCTTGTATCGGGTTTTGGAGTTCGCTATTCTTCCAGGCTGTACCTCGCACCTCTGGCACAGTTTCTGTCTGTTAATCTTTAAACTGCCAGTGAGCCATGTTTCGTTATAGGAGGTGCCTTTTCTACAGGGTTGACCAGGCTGGAAAGATTCTCCAATAGTCTCTTTTGACTTTGCGTAGCTTTTTTTTTTAAGTTTTGCTTCCTTAAATGTGTGAGTTTCTAGATAAAAACCATAAGCTGTCTTTATCATATACCCTCAAAAGAGAATTATCTTGAAGTAAGGTAGACTGGTTGTAAGAAGAAAAATTAGACAATAAAAAAAAACCAAGAGTATAAATGATAGATTAAAATCCGATTTAACCAGAATTTTGGTAGAGGTTGGTAGCAAGAAGGATCTACATTAACATTTGTGATAGTGCATGCTCTTTTCTAGCCTTCAGAACTTATAAAAATGGTAGAAAACAAACCCTTGGTTTCACAGGGGTCTGTATTAACTACGATTACGCACAGTCTGGCCACTTACATGGGTTGTTTCAGTGAAAGCAGTGAATTTATATACTTAGAAATTAGCATTAGTTTCCAGCCTGCCATATCAAATGAGTCTTTAATATGTAAGAATCAAACCTTGTCCCCATTTTAATACTCATTATTTTTAGGTACTTTATCCCCTGGAAGTCTCACGGTGGTTTTTACTTGAGCCGGTCGCTGATGAGCAGAAGGTTCTGTGTGTGTTACAGCAGGGATGGTAAAAACTGGCTGCAGCCTGTGGGTGCTGAGTTGCCCCATTCAAGGTCAGGATTCGTTGCTGCTCACAGAATTTGGCTGCTTTGGGCTATTTATGCAGGTGCCTAGAGCTAGTCCTGCTTACGGGGCAGCAAGAGGTCGCCTCTAACAGGATCACAGACCCTTTTCTGCTGAAAAAAAAAAAAAAAAAAAACAAAAACCAAAAAAAAAACAAAAACAAAAAAACCCACAAACAACAACAACAACAACAAAAAAAACAACCAAACAAAAAACCCAGTAAATTGATCATGCTGCCTTGGGTCTTTTTTGAAGGATAATCTTAAACCATCTCTTTCCTCGCTTGGTAACTTCTGAAGAATGTCGTGTTCCATGCGAGTCAGCATGTTGGCCTCCTTCAGGAAATCAGAATTGACCGGCCACGATGGTAGGTCCAAAATAAATCAGGACTACTCCCTACTTCCTTGTGGTCAGCAGCTTGGTATGTTTTTCATGTAGAAAGCCAAGAAAAACAAGCTAGCTGCTGAGCTCTTTAATTTCAGAAAGGACATCCAGATGGGGTTTTTGGATCCCTGTGTGTGTACAATTTTTGGAAGATACTTCAGTTGGCAGATTTGTGCAACTGTATGATCATTGTCTACGAAACACACAATCTTGATTCCTTTATCTGGTGGAACAAATCAAATTCCATTTTGATCCAGGAAAAAAAAAAAAAAATGGAGCTCATAGATGTAAGAGCAAAGAGTGTAGGAAGTGGCTTTCCTCCCAGGAGGTTCTGTCCTTAGGAGGGGTGGCTCTGAAAAACACGCGGCGGTACACGGTGACCCAAGTCAGTGTGAACACCTGCTGTGATCGGGGAAGAGATGCGATTTCAGATTCTCCTGGGAGGCAGTGGACAAGAGAGGACTTCAGGACTTTATTGATGAGTGGAATGTTTCCCACGTGGCTCTTTTTTTTTTTTTTTTCCTCCCCCCTCTACACTTTAAAACAAGAAAGTGGTAAAACCGAATCAGAAACGCTGCGGGAATCATCAGGAGAGGCGGCTGAGGTTATGGAAGGTGTAGACGCCCCTCGGTGATGGTGCAGGGGCTCCGCAGGGTGCAGCTGGCACCAGTCAGAGGAAGGAGGAGTCGCTGGGGAGGGCGGGGGGTGAGGTGGAGCAGGGGGAGCAAGTGCTGGGAGAAGGGATCGGTGAAACGCCGTGGTGGATTTGCCATCTGGTGGGATCTGCCGGGCGGGGAGCCTTGCCGGGAGGCGGTGAAACCCAAGTCGAAGTAAAATAATGAGTTATTGAGGGTCGTGGGAGAGAGTTCTGGGGTTAAACCCACAGAGGAGGTTGAACCTAGATGTCAGTTGTCTTTCTGTGCCTTATAAATCTGTCAGGTTTAGGGTTAATGGGTTCCAGAATGTTGGGGAGAGCCTCGTTTTCTTCAGCGGATTTCTACAGTGGGAAAAATTACACTTTGTTCTCTTGAATTGCGTGTTTCCTTGCCTTTCAAAACCCCTTGAAATTACCTCCTGCAAGCTAATTTCACACAAACCGACGTGGTACTTGAATGGCCGTCATGCTTCTGTTCCATCACTAAAACTGAGCTTTTTTTTTTTTAATTTTTTGTTGTAAATAATCACCGATGCAGCGATGGGTACGGAGCGTGCCCGGCCAGCGTTCATCGGAACAAACTGCAGTCACCTACACAAACTGCCAGCAACTTCCTAGCAATCCAGTTATTTTACCAAGCCACAGTTGTATTTTATGGATGCTGAAATAATCCTAAAAATGGTTCCATGCAGTCCGTTCCATTCCACTAGAACAGAATTGTGTCGGTATAGCAGTTACATTTTTCGTGGCAATCCAGTTAACAGATTCCAGTAGTGATCTGTAATGCGTGCTGTTATACAGGTGCTCAAGAAATTGTATCATCTAACAGCGTCCTTGATTGGAAAGCGTTCATGAAAAATGAACCTCTTTGGTTTTGAAAAAGTGATTAACCTTTAAAGCAGAGAGTGAAATTAAAGCCACAGACGGTGGGTTTGCATCTTAAGCAAGAAAAAGCAAACGCTTTGTACCAACGGTAGAATTTTTCAGTTTTAATAATGATTTTTTTTTTTTTTTTTTAATTTATCCTGGTTTTTAAACTATTTTTACAGTGACTTTTTTCCTTTTAAGAGAACAGGTGATACTCACACGAGTAGTGTTTCCTAATAGTTCTAAACCAAAGAATGGAGCTGCTGCTTAATGGAAATTATACGGACTCAGAAAATAGCAAGTAATAGAAAATCACTGCAGTATTTATTGACTAAAAAGTATTTTTAAGCATGATATGGGAAGTGCATATTGCAAATCAGTGTATGAAAGTGCACGGTATTGTCAGAGAATTCAGCAAAGCGACGTTATGTGCCACACTGAAAGTAAAGATGCATTTTCTTTGTTACAACCTCATACCTGCATTTTATAAGATCTTCTACATTAGGGTGAAAATAGCTTTGTCAGTCACATTTAACAAAAAGCTCGAAAGAATTCGTTTTTTTTCTCTCTGTGTCTCTAACCTGAGCCTGAGTGATTCTAAACGTGATACAATGTGATACATTTTACACACTTGCAAAAACATTTTATTACAAATTACATTGTATGGTACGATATAACACGATATGTAATTTTAAGCAAGACTATATGTATGTTAGCTTTTCCAGTTTTAAAAAAATGTAAAAAATTAAAAATTTTGCAACTTCTTAAGAAAATAGCCTGGACATGTACAGAACACGCCGTGAGAACTTTCACTTTTAGCTCTTATATGTTTCACCAGTGAATTTTCCTCTATCATTTGAAATGATGACAGAATACTGGTCTCTGTAGGAGTCAGTAACCGCACGTAAAAACAGTTTGGTTTTGTGTCCGTCCCTGCACACGAGAACGTTTAGAAGAGGTTTTATGGGCAAAGCTACTGATTTGGTGACACTAATGATTTGTAATTGATTGCCATTGAGAGATGCTTGATTTAATTTCTTAAAAAAAGAAAAAACACACAAAAAAAAACCCAAAACCCCAAAAACCCCCAAACCAACAAAAAAAAAAAAACAAAACAAAACCAAAACAAAGCAAAACAACAACAACAAAAAAAAGGAAACCAACCAACCAAATTAAAAAACAAAGAAAAAAAAAAACCAAACAAAAAAACCAAACAAAAGAAAAAAAAAAAAAAACAAAGCAAAACAACAACAACAAAAAAAAAAAACGGGAAACCAACCAACCAAATTAAAAAAAAACCAAACAAACAAACAAAAAAAAAAAAAAAACCAAAAAAACCCCAAACAACAAATAAAAAAATGAAGTAAAAAAAACAAAACAAAGCAAAACCAAACCAAAACAAAAAAACCAAAACAGAACAAAACAAAACAAACCCCCAAAGACTAGGCCTGTTAGTATGGATGAATCCATTATTAACATTATTTAAAATATTACTGAATACTGTTGTATTTTTCTTGTTATGTCCATATCTGATACTTCTTTCTGTTTAGGAAAAAAAAATGAAATTTTCTTGGCTGGAAATATCTGGGTTTCTAAGACATGTCGGGTGGGCTGGCTTGTGAACAGTTTATATTTTTAATGAAAAACAATATAAAAGACATGATTTTTTTTTTTTTTTCCACATGAAACAATTGCACTTCCTTCCTGGTACACAGAGTCACCTTTCTAATCCTTCTGCTTTCACAAAAGTATTTCAGGATATTGTTTGCTTACGTACAGGAGCTCGTAGCCCTCTTGAAGGCTTCCTGTATAGGTGACCCTCTTCCATTAAAGCATGCTGAAATTAATTTGGAGTTGGACGTAGACATCTTCTGCTTTTCTGTTCCCATCACAACTTCCTTTTCTTGCTCTTTGCTTTGGGGAGGGAAAAAAAATAATTTTCCTCAAGTTTTCTTGCAGTGAGAGATTTGATGCTGAGCTACGGGGAAAACCAGCGTAAATGAAAACGCTTAAATTTTTTTTAGTATGTGTAAACCCTTCTATAATGATTACATTTCTTCCACCTAAAGATTCAAGAATTTGTATCTTACTGATGCTGCAGGGTATGCAATTGGAAAACCAATTCTTAGAAAACCGAATGATCACGTGACACTGAGTCAAATTGTCTTGGGGAAAAACAAAACAAAAAAAAAGACGACAAGAAGATTCCCTGGCCACTTCTAGCACGATAAATTTTTCCACAAACGGTCAGTCTAGATGCAGGTTTAATGACAGTAGCAAATACTTCAAGGAAAAAAGTTGCAGTTTATAATTCAGAGCGAAATTTTGTGTCATTTAAAAAAAACCAAAAAACTAAACAACAAAAAACTGGGGAAAAAATGGATTCCCATCTCTTCCCTATATGTGTTGGTTCGCAAGTACAATTAATAGATTGAGATATAAATTATTGTAAGTTGGGAAACCCATCTGAGAGGCTTAGTAAATAAATGGCGTTTGAAATTTACTGCTCCTTCCAAACAGGTTTCAGAGCGTGATGCATACTGTAAATTTTCTGCTGCCTTCTGCAATAGTGTAGAGGTTTTCCAAAGACTGCGTAACAAAAAGATCCTGAATTACGGCAAATGCCCCAAGGATCCGTAGAGCTTTTGATTGTTGTGTTTGTGGGGCTGTTTGTTTGTGGGGGTTTTTTGTGTGCGTGTGTTTTTTGGTTTTGTTTTTGTTTTTGTTTTTGTTTTTTTTTTTTTTTTGTCTGTGCCAGAATGTATCATTTAGACCTTTTGGGTACCAAAAGATTAAAATGTGATCTAGGACAGGTGATTGTCCCGTGGCCTTGCCCCTGTCAGCTTGAGGTGTTAGAGGCTTCCCCTGGCCCCCCGGGGGAGGTTTTTAGCCGCTCGCCCAGTGGAGACCAGCAGCAACCTGGTTGGCCTGGTGGTGAGGACATTGCTCGGTTGGAGATGACGGTGCGCGGTCGAAATGGGATAGCTTGGTTGAAGTCTACATCGCGTGAAGGCAAATATACACATAGTCACGTCTTAGAGATTGCTCACGGTCTCGGACCACGTGAAAAATTGTGCTTTGTCCAGGATATATGTGCTGAAAACTGCACTCCCCAATCAACATGGATTTGTAAAACTGAAGACCATTGCAAACATAAGGCTTGCTTGCTTTTGTTTGTTTGTTTGTTTTCCCCCCTCGGTGTTTAAAGACACTAAACCAAACCCCCCAAAGGCTTTAAAACAATAGTGATATTTAGCTGTGTACAGGATGACAGCCTACAATTTAAAAGGTTAGAATGTGACGCTTTCAGATCTGGGGGGGGGGGTGGGGCATGGAAATAGTTTTCCTTTCCAGCTTTGTACAAATTTCTATTCAGGTTTTACATCCCACATTGGTGAACTGCAAATAGAAGTTGGCAAGGTATTACCTAACGCCTTGCTTCTGGACACGAGTTCCTAGGTACAGAGGCCTTTTTGGTACATACGGTGAGAACCGAACGCTGCCAGAACGCTCAGAACTACGTTGGCCAGTAACGCTGCTCGCTCTACCGAGATCCCATCGTAGATGACTGATAGAACTCCAGATATTTTTTCAAAGAAGGCCTTGAACTCCACACGCAAAGAACTTGGGTTAAAGGAACCAGAGTTTCCATCTTCCGTGCTTTTTTGATTCAGTTTTGGATTTTTGCTTGGGAGTGGAGGAGTAGCTCTCCTGAGAATAAGGCAAAGGTGCAACCTGAGTTTCCTCAATGGGATGAAGTTTTCTCAAAACTGGCTGTAGTTTGTCTTCTTGCTGTTTAAAATCCAATTCCACACTAAAAATTGGAAGAAGAAAGCAATTGGTTACTAATTACCACGATAGAAAGATTTCAATTAAGCCAAGATGCAGCTCCAATATGAAAGTGGTTAACTGATGAAATTCAGGTACAAAATAACCGTTTAAATCGGATTTCGGTATTTCTTGCGCCAAAAGCGAAAGGGAGGTGGTGGACAGGAAGGTCAAAAAAGGACCTACTACGAAACAAATCGGAAGGGGATTGTGCAAACTTCTCCCTCCTGTTTAGAGGTGCCTTGAGGATTACGGTAGGAGTGCTGTGAAGTGACTGAAAAGCAGAAATACTACTTTTCCCCTCATCTCTGTGGGGAAATGCTCTTCCCGAGGGCTCCCGGGCCCAGGACTCCCCGCGCCTGCGTGGGCTGGGCACGAGCCTCCTTACGCTTCGGAGAGGAGCTGATGAGTTGGCCAGAAGCAACGAGGCTCTCACGGCAAGTTCTTTACCTTTGCTGTTTTTGGGAAGTTTTACCAGGAGTTAGATTAATTTCACCCAACTGCTGTCATCTGCGCATACTCGTACACATACGCGGAAAAAAGAAATAGATTAAAACAGTTCTCGTTTCCAGTGCAACCCTTTTAGCATATGCTGACAGCATCTAAACTTAGCCCTTTAATGAGGATAGCAACATAAAATCTACTTGGCTCCTGCTGTAAACGACTGCTGAGACAAAACCATCTAATGATGTAGATCTATTTATTTAGCTGACCAGACCTGCAGGCAGAATGGAAAGAACCTGTTTCAGTAGCAGCTAGTGTGCTCTTGCTTGTTCCGTTGCTCCTAAAATTTAATAGAAATAAGGGAAATACTCATTTAAACTCAAGCCTGCATTCAAAAAATATACTGCAAGTCTGTCATACGCCTCCTGAATTCTAAACGTCGTGTCAGCTACAAAATCCTGTCAGCAATTAAGAAACGTAATAAAGGTGAATTTACAACTTTTATTTCAACAGTGTGGGCTTACAGATCCTTTCAAATTTACCTTCGAAAACAACGGAACCACCGTGATAAACTTCAGCAGAAGGTTAATTCTCCCTGATGCTCGAAGTGAACAAATACCCGGAAGCCTCGTGGTTTCAGTTGCACTTGTGCAGCAGCTCGTGGCCGAGTTCTGCACCGAATCCGTCCGTCCTGTCTTGTGCATCACGTTGCAGCGTGGCACCGGGGTGTCAGGAGGGGGGATTCAGGAGACAGGGTCAAATTAAGGGAATTTAGACGTCCGGCTTAATTTATTTCTTCCCTACCTTTGGTGGTTTAAACCTGGCGGTTAAGGACTGAGGTGAAGGCGGTGTGTGAATGCATCTGTCGGGGCCCTCGAGGGGCTGCCCTGTCACCTCTGCTGCTGAGGATTCTTGGGCTTTGCACCGGCTTCCTTGGCCACGTCAGTGTTGCACAAATACAAGATGACTGTTCTTGGACATCAGTTCACTTTTAGTAAGTAGCAGAAAGGTTTTCCGAGTTATTTCTGCTATTGCTTGTTTGGCGTGAACCGCTAGAGAGGTTAGGTCTACTTTTTCAGGCCTCGCACTCCCAGTGTAGCTCAACTAAAAAAGCGTTTTTAATCTTTGGTTACTGCTAGCTCTGTCTGGCTGAAGGAGGGTGGCACTCCTCCTGGTCTGCCTGCAAGCGTCCGGTACAAAATACCTGCAGGCGTTTCGGAGGGAATTCTCCAAGTAAGCTGGAATAACAGAAGTCATGGAAACGGCGGTGGACTTCAGAGCCACAGCCTTTGCAAACTGAGCACGTAATACCATTTAACACCGTCTGCTGATTTAGGTGGATTTTATTTTCCTCTTGGGGTGGAGGAGAGGGAATCAAAGATGCTAAGAGACGTTTGGGATGTTTTTGTGCTTTGGTGTTTCGAAGAGCTGAGGGGTCTGTAAGGACTGAAGAGCTGAAGGGCCTATAAGGACCCCCCGTGAAGCCCTGGGCAGGTGTAAGGGGGTTTTTTGGTGCCTCCTTTGGTGCCTAGTCTAACTGTTAAACACATTCTGAGCAAAAGTGTCAGCATTTCAGTGATTGGGAGTGAGCTGAATAAGGTTTCTGATAACGGAGGAGAGAAGTACACCAGGTAAGACTTCAAACATTCAAAACATTTTCCCCACCTCTGTATTGCAGAGCAGTAAAAAGGCATTCCAAATCAAAGAAGATAATTTTAAAAATTTCAGCTATATGCTAGAACTATACCTCTGAATACTGAATTTGCAGAAGCAGCTGTGTTGGCTGTCCTGTTACTGCAGAAGCACACTACAAGCCTACTGATTAATAACTGTCCTTCTTAATGAAAAAACAATGCTGTCTTCGACTTGATAACATGTTCCTGTTTGCAGTTTAGCTAGCAAAAAGCAGTTGGTTAGATAAGGGCAGCATTAATTTTGTGGTGAGACCGGCTGATCGGTTGATTGTGAATGCCCCACCACATTAATGCTTTCAGTAATACAGGGAGGATCTCGGCATGAAATAGATTCTTCTCTAAGAGCTTTCGAAATCTCCTTTAAAGCGGCATGCAAATCTGGGCACAGACTTTGGTATATTTTATAGTTGGTTTGTTTCTCGCTATAAATTTGGCGGGGGGGGGGGGGGAAGAAGAAAAAGGGATTTCGGCTCTGGCATTGGCAGAGTTCGTTTTTATTTCTTTCAAAATGTTGTTCTGGCAGGGGAGCTCTCTTAAAAGCTACTTGAAATTGATGTAAAAGAGAAATTGTTTTTAAAAAACAACTTGCAGAACAGACTAACTTTCTTCCTGATCAATTCCTATTAAAGATGGACCTCAAGAAAAAAACCATCTTGGTTCTAGTCCATATGACAAAAACCAAATTATCCTTTTCTACTCCCTAAAACCATTAGCAGCAGCGTTCAGGCTGTCTCTCAGCTGTTGACATCAAAATGAAATATTTGCCCTCTGAAGAGCGTAAGGAGGATGTATGAAAACACTCCCATTGTTTCAGCATTTATAACTGTAAATTTTGCAGAATAATTGATTGTTGTCTATCAAGATCAATTTATCTAGCTCTGCAGGTTTTTTTAATGGAACCGCTCGTTTCAGGCAAAAGAATTGTTTGCTTGCAAACTTGGGTTTTAGTGTATACCTGCTTGTGCTGCAGTAATGAGACAAAAATCTTCTAATTCTGTAATTTGTCAGATATCTTTTAAAATTAGCTATAGCCGACGCGATTTTTATGTCTTTAATATTATATCAAACATAGGAAATACTATTAAATTCAGCAAGTGCTACACATTTGTATGACTTCTTTATATTTTTGTTAGCGAGCTGTTGATCTTTCCAATTCTTGCATTCAGGAACTTGATTTTGTCACCTGTCACAGCTCTGACAGTTTTGTTTTGCTTAGTGCTATTTTTGTATGCTAAGTATCTATAGGTTTCCTCTCAAAATGACCTTTTCTTGAAATATTCTCTATGCCATGTGGCTCTTCTCACTTTCAAACTCCGTCTGGTTTTGTCTCTTCGTTAAGCCTCCCCGTAACTCCATAAACTTAATTAGTGAGGACTACATGTTCTCTTGCATTACACGTGATGGAAATTATAATTACTGGCTTCAGAAGAATTTTTCCTCAGATGAGATAATAGTGTTTTTTCAATAGACTGACAATTGTGAATAAACCCTAGAAAACCAGGAGGCAATTGTAAATATGACACAATGCTAATATCAACAAATATTTGCCTGACACATCTGATGAGGACATACTGAAGATTCATTTACAGTATGGCCAGATTTGGAGCATTGGGTTGGAGTTTCTCCACGTTCAATGCCTCTCTCAGATTTTTCCTCTGCATGATGAAACTCCAGTGCAAATAGATACGCTGGTTTTGTGAACAAATATAAGCAGTAAAATTTTGTCTGTGATGAATATTCTGGTTTTCTGTGTGTTCTCCCCAAAGCATCTATATGCTTACAGGATTTACAACAGAAACTTTACATTTTAGGGTAGTTGCCTCTGTATCAGTGTCTGCATAAATGTAACTCCTGTGAGAGTTTGGCCAAATAAAATCAAATAACAGACCTCTGAGAATTTTATTTTGATGTGCTCATTAAACACGGGCGAGAACTTTGTAATTCAAACCTCCAAAATTCCTTCACCGTGAGATGGGTCTAGTCCAGGACTGGTCAAAAATCTCTTTGCAGTTGCAGCTTTAAACTACATTGGGCTGTGCTTGGCTGAGCCCTGGAGCAGCTGATCCTGAGCCTGCTTTTTCTGTCATCTTGTTTTCTGCAAGGGACTGATACCAGTGCAAAGGGAACCTCAAATGAGTTGTGTTTTTTTTTTTTTCTGTTTGTTTGGGTTTGTTTTTTTTTTTTTTTTTTTTTTTTTTTTTTTTTTTTTTTTAATTATTATTTATTTCCTTCCTTTCCCATTTCCCAGATCCTGGTGTTATATATTGCACAGCACGAATGTGCACTAAACTGACCGAGGAGCCTCGCTGAAATGGGAATCGGGGTCTAATTTTGTCCCTGGGAAGAAGAGCTAACGCGTGACGCAAGTTGGGTTTATAGCGAGTGAGGCAAGGTGTTGCAAAAAGGTAGAGGGTAACAGCAGGGCAGCTGAACGCTGCCTTGAAAAACTTTTTTCGTACACAACTTAATTTTGGAACTGAAGCCAGCGGGGATCTCTGTGGGATTTGTCAGTTCGTTCTGCTTTGGGCTTTGTGTCCCTCAGCCTTTGCTTTTTGCGTTTGTGAAACGGCATCATCGTGTTCGGTGAGCGCCGAGGACTCGCATGCTGTAATAACGAGTACCCCAGGATAAAATTGGGAGCAAAACGTATTTTCTGTGCAGAATTGGAATTACATTCGGGAAAGAAAGAAACAGAAAGTACGGCGTGGCTGCTCCTGGGTGTAGGAGGGTGAAGCCCGGGGGAGAAGAGTGAAGATCTGACTTGCTAATCGCGCACTGGTGGAGGGGGCCCAGGGCGCCTTTGGCCGTGCCCTGGGGCCACCCCAAAGGCGCTTTGGGACGCGGCCTC